CTCTTTTCTCTAAATTTTATTAAGATATTTCATGAAGATTACCAAAACTGGAATCCAGGAATAGAATAAAACAGGCCATTTCTAATAGCAAAATCATGTTATCTTTAGAGCACTTCTGAAGGCATGAAGGTATTCTGGGGAGCCAAATAGAAAGCAGAGAAAATCCCTCCCCCTCCCCATTTGTTTCGTTAGCATCAATGTTGCTATAGGACAAAAAAAAAATCTGTTTCAAGGCTGTGAACAATGGCACAGCCCAAACACCCATGGCTGGCCACCTCTCAGAGACTAAGGGTCTGGGCTTCATGACCTTGTGCCTCATGCATGTGCCCTCACCATGCATAGGAAGTGGATCTTGCTAAATTCATCTCACCGATATGAATGCTACAGGGCTCAAGGATTCTGAGTCACTGGAGGTAAAGCTATTTCTGTCTCAAAACTCCAGCCCTTTCCACCACACCACATTAAGAAAACTGCCCCTTCCCCAAGCCCTCTATCTTTCTACCCAGGGATGGAACAGAGCAGGAATGTACCCCATAGATACTTCAGTCCAACACAAATGGGCACTGATGACAAAGGACTAGAGAGAATCACAAGTACCTATAACTAGAAGGAAGCAAAGAGTTGGCCTATATTGTGCCTTGTTTTCTATCTTGCTTTTAGAGGAAACCCCATCACACATAATAAACCCAGCTCCCTGGGCTAGGCATTTTAACATTTAAGACTTTCCCATCTAGTGACTGCTATGAATTTATGACCTTGTGCCTCATGCATGTGCCCTCACCATGCATGGGAGTGGATCTTGCTAAGTTCATCTCACTGATATGAATGCTACGGTGCTCAAGGATTCTGAGTCACTGGAGGTAAAGCTATTTCTGTCTCAAAGCTCAACTAGGAACAGCAATGTGTACAGCCCAGAGGCCTTTCCCACATCATGACTTAGCAGGATGAGCAGGGAAGGGAGCTTTCCTTCACAGGGCAGAACCCCAAGACTCTGCTCTGTGTAGGGGGTCATTATCACAACCATACCTTCCCAGAATAGACTAAAGCCCCTGCCTACAATGGCTCTGAACCAGCTGCTTTGCCCCGAAGAATCCATTGGTAGGTAGAATGAGTTGTTCAAGAGTTCACCTAGCGTTAAAGCAAAAACCTACTTCCTCTTCTGTCTCTCTGCCATTTTCCTCCCAACAGTTCGTGTGAGTTTGAAAAATATTCTTATGTCTTCCCACAATTGTCCCCAAAACCTCAGTCTTCTCTTTTCATCTGCAACAAACCTCTGGTGGGTGCAGATGTGATCAGTTGCCCCCCTACATAACTCTAGCCCTGAGCTACTGGAAATCCCTCCCACAGCACATACAAAGTGTCCCCAGCATGCCTTTAGCAAGAACACTAGAAGCTATACCAGAACATCTAAGTCCCTCCTTAGATCTACACTAAAAAGCATCCCAACATCTTGGCCAAATTCTAGACAAAATCCAACATTCTTCCTCATCTGTTCAGCTAAGCTCCTGTCACTGTATTCTCTTAGACTTTGGGCAAATCACGCTCATTCCTCACCTACCCCACTTCTTAAGCCAAGAATCCAGGCCTGCAGTTTAGCTATAATTTATATCATGCTTTCTGAGATACCTTAACTCCAGAAGTGCTACTTCGCCTTCACAGCTCTTCAAAATAAAGGTCATTAACAATGTTTCCATAATCTTGTACATTTCTTTAAATATCTTCCTTGCCTGCCCTGCATGAGGAAACGGTTCCTCTCTGTCTTAGCAACTACAGTTGGACCCAGTGATGCCTGGTCAGTGCCTGGAACCTGACAGGCTGAACATAAATGCTTGACAAATGAAGGAGGGATGAAAATGACAGTCTGCCTTAGAAATAAGCCCTTGCTGACTCACCAGGACTAAAGGGCCTCCTCAGCCAGGTTGCCAGATGATCTAATTCCTATAGTGATGGGTACTGGAATCCATAGTATCAGGAGAGGAAAGCATCAGTTCATTTTCAGCTGAGTTCCCTGAGTACTTGGCAGAAGGAAAAGTTCGGCTGGAAATGACCCAACATTCTTGCATAGAGAGGAACATGACAGGAAATGTCATGAAGGAAGAAGGAAAAAGGGACCACGATTAGATAAGGAAATCACACATGAAAATGAAGTGAAGTCTCACCAGGCCACGCTGCTGTCGTAGCCCTGCTGTGCCCAGAGATGAGACAAGCACCACAGTTCTCTCCATCCCACCCTTGCCTAACCCTAACTTGAGATGCTAAATGGGTCAATATCCGGAGACACTTCAGATGCCAGATATGTAGACATATCTACACATGGTAAAACCCTGACCTCTCTCAACCAAACTTCCTGACCTATTTTCTCCAAGCACTGGAAGAGCGGATTCGGGATGGCAGGGGCAGATTCAACATGAAGTCACATTATTAATCTGCTCTTTAGAGAGACCTCCACTCCTCAACTACTCTTAAAATCAATGAAAATCTTTTCTGCATCTTTACTTGTGACCATTTAAACAATTAAATCAAAGGAATGAATGAATGATCGCATCCATCCTACCACCATCAGGAAAAACATGCCTCATTGCCCTTCTCTCCACCAGGAGCCAAATCACCCCAGGAATGGAATCTCCAGTGAACAGAAACAGGACACCAGCCATCATAAAGAGCCAAATCACAGCAAGTTGAAAACACACTGCCCAACTCCCCAGTGTTTCCCTCCTCCCTATGAGGCAACAGAGACAAATTACTCAACTCTGCCCTCAGGTCCAGCTTGGGTGTGCTGCGAATGTTTCTGAAGGCCATGGGCAGATTAAGAAATAAAATTTTGAGATGCTGATGTTTCCTACTTGAATTTCCTTTTGACTTTCGTAAGTAAACTTTCTGATTTCTGAATTATTTCTGAAGGAATGCTGGTCACAACAGCTAACTGCATTCCTCACATTCTCAACTAGCACCTGGCCAAGGCACCTAACCTTGGCCATGGCCACAGTGAAGAGTTAGTTAGGGACAGGAAGAGTGCACCTGACAGCACATAACCGCACTTCCTTTTTGTAAATTCTTGTAACTGCAAAAAATATTGCATCATCCTAGTGTTCAATTCACTTCTAAACTGTAGTCTCCTGATTCTCACTTCATATATTACAGAAATGAAACATCTAAAAATTTTACATGGGAAAAACAGATGACAAAACCATTCAGTGGATAGAGCTGTTGAACAATTTCAGTTTCTCACAGCACACATGCACTCAGGACAACTCCCTACTCATTGGGAAATCCTTAGTTTACTTTCTTAATCAATGCAAAATCTTTCAAAAGCAGGCATGTATCCAGCTATAAAACCACTGCTATTCCTTACTTTGCAGCGTAGATTCCATCACATATTCCTCATAAACCTCAGAAAACAATTTTACTTTTCAAATATTTTAGAAACTGAAAGATTTGTTTTTATTAAAAGAAAAGTCAATTCCAAACTATTTCTGAAATTCAAATAGTCCATAAAACTTTTCTCAGTTCATGCTCCAAATTAATTGGACATTACAGTGCTGTTGCTGTTTTCCTATTTTTTTCTCTCCCCTTCTGCATAGATGGTTATTTACAAGGTTTTAAGATGTTTCTCAAAAACGTGTGGAAATTAGTCCTGTGTAAAAGTGGTAAATAATTACTGTAGAACTGAGGTTACTGGATATATCTTAAACTGATATGACTGGTAAAGATTAAAATCATTAACACCTTCATTTATTTTCACACACACTGACAGAACCACACAAACACACCATGGCACCGAACCACAAATAATCCTCAGGGTGTTTTTGCTAGGTGAGCACATGCTAACTTCTATTTCTGCAACTTGTTTAACTTTGTTAATAAACATAAATAATTTTATACTTGAAACTACTAGTACTGAGAACATTTCTCTGGCCACACATTCAAATACTATTTCAATTTAAAGCAATGTGGGACAGCAAAAAATCTCCAAAGAGATGAAAAAGGAACATGACCAGAGGAGAAAACGTATGTAACTGTTAACAAGAAATCTTCCAGTCAAAGAATGTTAACTCTAACTGGCTGCCTTCCCTGTATGCATTTCCCTCCAATAGCACACTCATCCTAATCAGACAACTTCACTGTCACTCTGCAAGGAGTTAAGACTTACAATTGATTCTCTCAATTTATCCTTCCCATTTTATAAAGGTCTTTACCAACTCACATACAGCAAGTTAAAATCAGAGGGACCTGCAGATACTGAGGGGAAACTAGGGGAACCAACATTGTATCACTTCTTGGTCCCATTTCATTTCTCAGGACCATTCCGGATTATCAGATTCACTGGAAGTAGCTGGAACCCAGGAGAGTAAAAAAAAAAAAAAAAAGTTACTTGCAGACTGTTTGGAATCAATGTCACGGTCACCTTTCAGCCACTGGGGCAAACCCCCAGCGGCCCCTCCTTTGTTTGCCCAGGCGAGGCTGGGTCAGACTCTGGAGCCCGAGTCCCGAGAGCCAGGGCAGCGAGGGGACAAGTCCAGAGCAGAGGGCTCGGCATCCGGCCGCGCACCCGGTGGGCAGCGCATCCGCGCTTTGCTCAGGGTCTTTCTATTTTCAGACGCGAGGAAGCAACAATAAGCCCGGCGGAGCGGCCACCCGGCTCCCCTCCCTCGCCGCGCGGCCCCCTCTCCAGCATCCCTCAAACCCCTGACCCACCGCACCAGCCCCCGCCACGCCCCTGCGGCCCGACCCTCCCCGGCAGCGCGCGCGGTGGTCTCAGCTCACCGCAAGCCCCTCGCCCCGCGCGCGTCCTCACACGCACGCGGGGACTCTCGCCCCACCGCCAGCGCAGCTCAACGGCCGGCAGCTGGGAGGGGAAGCCCCACGGCCCTTCCAGCTGAGGGTCCTCAGGTCGTGGAGTCGGGGTAAGGTAGACGGCCGCTCAGTGCCCCCGACGGGCACCCCGCCTCCCCCGCGCTCCCAGTCTTTGTGTGTAAAGTAAGTGCGGGAGGAGAACCTACCTCGCGCGTGCACAAAGGCGCACGGTTCCCTCCCCACCGCTCTCTACCGGAGACTGCGGCGGAGACCGGCGGCCCAGCGGCTTAGGGCGGCCCCAAGGAGGCGCGGGCGGCAGCTCTGACGGCGAAGAAGGCCAGTCCGGCGCTGGGCGACTCTTTCACACCCCGCGGCCCCGCGCGTCCGAATTAAGTGGCGGGGCGGGGCGGGGGCGGGA